TTCCTCTGTTCCCAGTTTAGTTCCCTAGTTTCTTAGCTTTTTGGTTTGAGTTTCAAATTTGTTTCTTTTGATTTTATTTTCTGTATTAATGTAAGAGTATTCCCAGCAGTAAAGCTGCAGTTTTGACTTTATTCCCTCTCCGTGTTTGAGTCCTGCTTTTGGGTCCTGCATCCTGCCTGCCACAGCACCAAACCATGACAGCAGCAATCAATTCACTGAAAACATACTACAGTTTCTATTTATTTATTTATTTATAAAAGCAATGAAAAAAAAACATGTTCTCACTTGTGGTGGTTGATGGTCATCCCACTCCTGAATCTTTATCCACTCAATGAGTGAGGTTCAGTTAGCCACCTTATTCATTTATGTCCTGTTTAATGGATGTTTGTTTTGGGGCTATATCTTTTTTTTTTTTACTTATTTTGTGCTACCCAATAAGTCCTATTGTGCTCAAGAGGACATCCTGGCCTTTCCAATGATATCTCATGTGTTTGGGTTGCCTCTTTTACCTCCAAACACATAAGATATCACAAAATATGTTAAACTGATAGATACATGTTTACTTGGTAATTAGGAGGGTATTAAAAGCCCTATTTTGTAGAAGCTGTATGACGATTTCTAACAGGCTGAAGAACAGCACACTGCATGAGTAAAGATTATTCAGAAGAGCAGCACAGTTAGCAAACCTTCGCAGAGGTATTACAGCTGCTGAAGTTACATCATATTCTCATCAAATTCATAACAGTACTTTTCCTGTTTGCATGTACATTTTAAAATACTGCAGAGGCTATCACTGCGCCACGAAAAGTCCTCAGTAAAATCCTGCACACCCCAAAAGGTCTCAGGCTCAGCCATCCAAAGTCTCCAACACTTTGCGCTTTATTTGGTGATATTACACATGTATATGTATGTTCTGAGAGCATCTCTGGAGATAAGAGATAAGAGATAAGAGATAAGTGTAAACAATGAAAAAATATAGCAGCACAACATTTAGCAGGCTTTAATGTAACCCAGGTTGCAAATGCAACCATAATAAAATAGCAACCACAACCATAAATGGCAAGAAATACAAATATGTAGTAGAGACAGTTCATACTAAAACATTTTTTTAAAATCCTTTTGTCTGACTAAAAGTTCTAAGTAAAGAAGAAAGATATTTTGTAGCAATCTTAACATCTTTAGCATGCCCTTTCCCTCTGAGTTTACAAGGTGGTTAGAGATGAACACTAAAAGGACTAACAGTCCAAATAACAGGATGTAACAGTGTTTTTGAGCTGTAATGATGCACCGCCTGCTGGAACTCTTTTAGCAGACACAGTGGAAAAATATCGGAAAACTGGGAAGTGTAGAAACTAAAGATATGTAATCAAAAATATCTGTGGCTCTCTCATAAAAAAATGGAATTTATTACCATGTACTCCACAACGTTAGTTGGCCTTGTAGCAGTGAAGTGCTATAATTTGAATGCTGACGCAGTGCTGATGTTTGAGTAATATCTGTGCAGCTACACTGACTCATTTAGTGACAGCAGATTACAGTTTGTCTGCATCAGTTTTTCCTTTACAGGCACAGCTGCTGCTCATTGAGGAGCCACGCCCAGTTAGTTTTAGGTTTGTGTCTTATCACTTTGTGTTTACACACCTCTCTGCATTTAATCAGTATTTAGTATTAATCTCGCTCTCTTCTACAGCGTGTCTCTGTCCTGTCTTCCTCC